AAAGGCTGAGGAAGCGAGGGATGGAAACTATGGCTACAAAGCTGGTGCGGAGGAAGAGTGACTGTCAGCAAAGGAATAAAGCTGCCTCGAAAGCCAAGCAGCCAGGATGCTTCTTAGCGGGTTGGATGGTAAGACTCCCTCTCATACATCTTGGGCACGTCATCAGGAAAGTACAATCCCACGAAAGAATCATCGTACTTGGTACACAGAGGGTCATCAAAAAAGAAGACGACTCTTCACTGATAGATGGACATAGGGCCTGCCTCAGCTGTGAGGCTGGCCCAGGACCAGGCAGGCGTCCTTCTTGTGCGTGGATGAGGTAGTTCTGAGTCAGATCCAACTGGAGAGTGTCTGATGACACGGGCTCTGGGTGGCGCAGATGTTAATTGTTTGACTATGAGCCGAAAGGCTGGCAGTTCAAACCCACCTAGAGGCGCCTGACAATCTGCTTCTGAGAGTCATGAGAAATAGCCTCGACAATGCTACAGAGCATCTGTCTGATTAGCTTGCTTTTGTTCTACACACGTAAGGTAGTTGGGAAGAATCAGAATAGGCTAGACGGTAACTAACAAAGACACAGCTGCGCTAGGAGCTCTCCAGGATCATTGCCAAGGTCACAGAGGTGGGCGTGGTCCTGCTGAAGGTGACTGGGGGAAGAATGCTTCAGAAAGTGGAAAAACCCTTTTCAACTATTGCTCTTTTTACAAATTTTTAATTAATTGACTAGTAATAATTTATAATACCTTTTCTGTTTTTTTGTTAACTTTGTGGCTTTTATTCATTTATATGTGCTAGAGTTTCCTTTTTGCCTATGTATAAAGTTTTCCTTAACTTTTTACAGTGGTGATCATGTAACATCATTTGTTCATTTGTGATTGACTAAGGGAGCCCTGGTGGCCTAATGGTATGGAGTTTTGCTGGCGATCCATAGTTACACAGTTTGGATCCACCTGCTATTATGCCTGGCAGAAAGGTCTGCAGTCTGCTCCAGCTAAGAGGTCAAGTAGGGATCGGTTCTGACTCAATGGTACACAAGAACAACAACATCATTAAGCATAATTTGTTCTAGTTTCATCCGTGCTGTCCAGTATTTCATTGTTACTGTTTTTCAATTATGTATAATTCTCCATTATGTAAATGTACCTGTTATTTGACCATGTATGAGCAATTGGATTGTTTACAGCTCTTTGCTATTATAATCAATGATGTAATTAAAAAAAAATAAAATGAAAAACCCCTTAGCAAAGGGTGGAGCAGGAGTGTGTGGAGGGAGCATGTCCCAGGCCCGAGGCCCGGTGGAGCCTGAGGAGAGAGTGATTTACTGCAGCTCTGGTCCTTCTCTCTGTCTCCAGTCTGTGTCCCCTCTTGAATGTCTCCTGCTCAGGGTCAGTATGTGCTCATAAATGTTGTTGAGCAAATAATTGAACAAGCCTAGAATTCCATCCCTCCTCTCCTGCTGGCCAAGTTCCCTCTTCACTTCTTGCTCCGTCTACAGAATGGGTCTGGCATGGGGCCACCTAGTGATTTGGGGTTGACCCTCTGCTTGCTAGGGGCTGGGGTCCATGTGGGCCCAAGACTTATTTCCCATGTGATGAGATCTTTGATGTTCAGCCTTTCTTGAGGGACTGCTTCTACCCCATGATGTCCATTTGCCCTGGGAGCAGCACCAGGCTGCAGCCTGGCTGGCACTGAAAAGTGCCCAGGAAGAGCACCTGTGACATAGCCATCCCAGGTTAAGGGGCTAACACACAAAAATATACGTGAAAAAGCATGCAGGACATTGCCTTCTGAGACACAAATTGCCGAACTGGCCACAGTGAATGTCACAGGACAACTGCTGGTCAGACTTCAGTATGTCCATTTCCCTGCCTGTCTTTCTCCCTCTGTCTGAATGATCAGCTGTCAGGGGAGGAATGAGCAAGCATCTGCTTCCTCACTATGAATTAGAAGCTGGCTTGGGAGCCCACCTCTGCCTGACTCTAGAGGGTAAGAGCCCCAGTAACAGGGCCGGTGCCATGTCAAGACCTTGTATGTTGGTGGAAGCTAAGCCTCTAGTATTTGTTCTGAATTCAGTTATACTTTCCTCCCTTAAAATGCATGTTTGTAGGAGTTCATGTTTACAGAATTGTTGTTGTTAGGCGTCATCCAGTTGAAACCAACTCATAGCTGAGCCTACAGTGGGTTTTCAGAAGCAATTCATTATACTGGCAGAGTTTAGCCATATTTCTTCCACAGAGCAGTTGGTAGAGTCAAATCACCTGCCTTTATTTCGGCAGTGTAACTCCTTACCACTAGGCCAGCACCTCCCTGCTCCACTGGAGAAAGATGGGAAGATTCTGAAAACCCACTGGAGGGGTCAGCTATGAGTCAGTTCCCACTCAACGGCACCAAATAACAACAATAAAGTGTGTGCTGTCAATCCAACTCTCTGATCCTGTAATTAGGGCGCTCTGGTGGCCTAGAGGTAAGGAGTTGTGCTTCCAATCCAAAGGCACACAGTTCAACTCTACCAGCCCCTCCATAGGAGAAAAATGGGCAAATCTCCTCCTGTGTAAATTACTTTATCGGAAAACTCCCTGGAGGGTCAGCTATGACAAAGAACATACCTGTGATTATAAGCTCATTTGGGAATGGGGCTTCCTAGTAATGTAAATGTAATGAAAATGAGGTAGCTTTATTGTAAGATATGTCTTAAAACCACGTCTTCTGAAACAGAAAAATAACCACAAAAAAAAAATTCATTGATTGATCAAGCAAACAAGAAAGCAGGCAGAGATGAGGAGATAGATGCCATGCAAAGTGAAGATCACCAAGAAGCCAAGAAATAAGAGACAAAATGTCCCTCCACACCTGCAGTGAAGGAGTCTTCCCCTGCAGGTGGGGCCTGAATTTATACTTTTGACAGTCCTAAAGTGTGGGGAAAAAGAAATTTCAGTTTGTTAAAGCAGTACTTGTGGTATTTCTGTTAGAATAGCACTAGATAAACAAGACCATACTGTTTGTCTGTTTTGGAAACAAGGAAACGGAAGTACAGAGTGGTCACATCAAATGCTCAAGGATGCCTTGAGTTTAAAGAGGATTTCAAGCCAGGCCTCATCCCCAAACCGGCCACAGGCATCCCTGAAGGTCCCATTACTCTGGCTGAAGGGGTTGTCAGATTATGTACAAATTCCTTTCGGTGTAGCAAGTGGTTTCCTAGGACTAGCTATATTGGTAGACCAGCCCGGGTGCCTCTTCATAAGCCGCCTTTATTCGCAGGCATGTTCACAGATCCAAGTCACCTTCCATCTCCTCCATCACCTGCCCAGAAAGGTTACATAAACAGTGACTGCTCCTGAAGTCTGCATGTTTCCTCTCTCCTGCCTCATGTTCCAGAATCATCAAACATTTATGGAACCTGCCTTTCACCATTTATCCTTGATCTTGTCCTCTTCACTACAACTCCCTTCAAACCACTCCCACAGACTGGGGACCAGCTCCCTCCCCTGCCTATATCTCTTTGTTGGCTCAGTGGTAAGAAGCTGCACTGGAATCCTGAAGGCACTTGGTTTGAGGCCACCAGCTGCTCTGCAGGAGAAAGACGGGCAATCTCTTCCCTTGTGATTAACTGCCTCTGAAAACCTGCTGGAGGGTCAGCTATGGGTCAGTTCCAACTCTACAGTACACCACCCCTCCCCAAGCCCCTTAAGATGGGAAGGGAAGAGGAGGAGAGGGGAGGAGACCAATCCCCTCCTCAGGCATCTGGGAGAGCCCTGTCCCCATGGGCTTCACCCTTTCCTACAAGCCCTCTTCCCAAAACATTTGTTAAAATCAAACCTGAATAAAGCAAATTTAATATGGGGGAAAAAAAAAATCTCAAAACCAATCTCAACCATTTATGGAACCTGAAAAGACAAGGTAATGATAGGCAAGGTCCAATGGTGACTAATTTTATAAAACATAATGCATGGGAATGATTGTATGAAACACAATGTAAACGAACTGTGTAAGCAAATCAATAAACAAAATAAAAAAACCCACACAACAAAACCATTTGAGGGAGCTCTGGTGGCCTAGTGGTAAGAAGCTGCCCTGCAATTCCAGAAGCACGCGGTTTGAATCCACCAGATGCCCAGCTGGAGAAGGAGGGACAATTGCCTCCAATCAGATCCGATTTGACGGTACACATACAATAAATAATAAAATTTAAAAAAAAAAACCACCTCAAAAAACCATTTATGGAGTACTCATGATATGCTACGTCTAGAGATGCAAAACAATCTTAAATGAAAACGCAATCTCTTTGCCCTGGCAGATTTAGAATTCGAACCAGTCTCTATCTGTCCCAGACACTGGGCACTGAGTTCTGCCTTTCCGGCACTCACAAGGCCCTTAGTGTTGAGCATAAAGTCATTCGGTGATCTTTTTGTCTACCAAGTTCCTTTAAGCCCAGCACTTGCTTCAAGAGGCCTGTGGAGCAGTGCTGGGGGACTTGTTAGAAACACTGAGGGCCAACGTGGAGGACTGGGGTGGGGCTGAGCCCAGAAAAGGGTAAAGCCTAGGTCAGGCGAGAAGCTGAGGTCCGGGTGTAGAAATGACAGAAAAGGCTCGATTCAGTAATAGAACAGAAGTGGACCCTCGGCAGTGATGATGACGGCACAGGAGGATTCAAGGGAGAGACCTAATGACCGCAGACACATAAAGTGAGGATGACAGGAAGGAAGCCTTTCCTAGCCACCGGCATCTGCTGGGGATGCGACCGGGTGTTTGGAGATGTCGGCTAACACTAGCTGCAGGAGCCCAGGACGCGCGAACCTAGAGGACTTGGCGAGCAGGCGCGCTCACGTATGCGCGGGGGGGGGGCGGGGGGCGGGGCTGGACTACATTCCCGTCGTGCCCCGCGCGTGCCCGCAGCATCAGAAGTCCCCCGGAAGCGGTGGTGGCGAGAGGCGTGGCGACCTTTGCCCGGGGGCGGCCTGGCGGACAGGTTTGGGCGCGGGGCGGTAAGCCAGGATCCCGATGCGGGGTTGCGGGTTCGGAAATGGCCTCAGCTGGAGGAGGCGACTGCGCGGCCTCCGAGTCGGAGGCGGACCGCCCTCACCACCGGCCCTTCCTGATCGGGGTGAGCGGCGGCACCGCGAGCGGGAAGGTAAGGGGCCTGACCCCCGGCCGCTGTGATCGAGCCCGGGCAGCTCAGCCCCTGATCGCCGAAGTGCCCTCTCGCCTGCTTGGGTGAACCCGGGGGCACTGCGGGTGTCGGCGGACGGGGCCGCCCTGGCGCACTGGCACAAGCGGGTCGCTTGCCCTCGGGGCTTCTCGCAAGCAGCCTCATCCCTTGGACTCCAGGCTGTGTGTGCTGCCAGCTGCCTGACCCCCACACCACTAGGCCAACCCCGAGGGCGGCCAGTGTCGCCAGAAGTCGCTCTGTGCAGACGGGCCCTGAGCCTGGGCAAAACTGAGGGCCCCAAGTTCGAATCCTCTTTCTTTCCTCTTCAGTCAACTGTGTGTGAGAAGATCATGGAGTTGCTGGGGCAGAACGAAGTCGACCACCGGCAGCGGAAGCTGGTCATCTTAAGCCAGGACAGGTTCTATAAGGTCCTGACGGCTGAACAGAAGGCGAAGGCCTTGAAGGGACAGTACAATTTCGACCACCCAGGTAGATGGGGAGACCCTCGCATGGCTTGGAGTTGGGGGGTGTTGACCCCCGAGTGCAGCCCCAGATGCCTGTTGCTCTGGTCTAGGATTAAAGAAGATGCTGAGGCCAGAGATATTTGGTGAAACTTCCCCCAGAGCATTCACAGTTAAGTAAGATTGCAGTTAAGTCAGGAGGATCCTGCAAGACACGCCAGGTCCCAGGGGGCCCTGACTGGCCAGTCAGGATGTCTGCATGGCAGAGGCTTCTGGACCTCACACCACAATGACTGAAAACCCACCCCTGTGGGGGTTGAATTGCTTCTGATTCACAGAACCCCTGAAGACCCCGGAAGACACAATACTCTTGCCACATCTTTGTCCTGAGTGTCTGGTGGCTTTAAACCACTGACCTTTTGGTTAGCTGCCAGTTGCTCAAGCACTGGCACTAGGGCTCTTCAATCTGTTGTTATGTGCCATCGAGTCGCTTGTGACTCATAGTGACCCTTTGTACAACAGCTCTGAACTCTGCTCTATCTTGTGCCAACCTTAATGTCTGACACACCTACCCTCATTACCCCAGTCACTGAATCAATGCATCTCATCGATGGTCTCCCTTTCTTCGTCCTTCTAAGCATGACGTCCCTCTCCAAGCACCCATACCTCCTTGCAACATGCCCAAAGTATGTCAGATGAAGCTTCAGAATCCTTGCCTCCAAGGTGCAGCCTGGTTTCACCCTCTCTAGGACGAACCTGTTCTAGCAATGCATGGTATATTCAAAACTCTTCTCCAGCACCACAGCTCAAAAGCATCAATTCTCTATTATCCTTAGTCATTGTTCCTTCACGCTAGTCTTGTAGAAATCCCCTTTTCCCTTACTCCACCATTGTTTGGGGCCTCTTTACATACAGTGCTGTCTTTGGTGGCCTCTAGTCTCCCCACCTCTCCTGGGGAAGAGTTCTGAGAGACCAGTTGTAGACAGCAGTGGATGAACCAGAGCTGGTGGACTGAAGCCCTATTTCCTGGTCTGGTCAAGGACCAGATGTGCTGGGCTGACAGGAACGAGCCAGGCTGTGCCAGCTTTGACTGGATTACTTGGGAGGGTTCCCTTGGCCCTGTTCAGGAAGCGCTGGCCATACTATGTTTATTTCCCAGAAGACTGAGGCCTAACCTCGTTACCTCTCAGCTTTGACTGATCAGTAAAATCCTCACATATGAAATGGGAAGCTGCCCAGAAGGGCCTCCCTTGGCTTGGTTGGTCACCACTACTTGTGGGCAGCAGGAACAGGCCATCCCATGCTTGGCAGGACTAAAGTCGTCTGTAATTTGGGGACAGCCCCTAGTCCAAATGTCCTGTAGCTGCCTGGCTCTGTCCCCTCCTGTAGCTGTCGCCCCATGGAAGGACGTGTGTCCTGCACTCTAGCCCATTGGCAGCGGGACTGCCTTGCTTTTGTCCCACATCCCTGCAGATGCTTTTGATAATGACTTGATGCACAGGACTCTGAAGAACATCGTGGAGGGCAAAACTGTTGAGGTGCCCACCTATGATTTTGTGACCCATTCCAGGTAAGTCGTGGTTTCTGGGAGGGCCAAGGGCAGGGGCCCTGCTGTGGGCTTGGTAGGGTGCTCCCTGGAGGCTGCCTCACAGAATGCCCTCCCAGCTTTCCAAGGAGGGAGCTGCTGCACCAGGGCTGAGGCAAACTCTGCAGCCTGTCCCCAGCAGTGCCCGTGACCTTGTCCTTGCCCCACAGGCTGCTGGAGACTACGGTGGTCTACCCTGCAGACGTGGTCCTCTTTGAGGGCATCTTGGTCTTCTACAGCCAGGAGATCCGGGACATGTTCCACTTGCGCCTCTTTGTGGACACCGACTCTGATGTCAGACTGTCACGAAGAGGTAAGATGGACAGGGACATTTTTGGCCCCTGGCTGCTGCTGACCACCAGCACTGAGGCCTGACCAATGCCTTGCTCCTGTCTCCTCAGTTCTCCGAGACGTGCACCGCGGGAGGGACCTGGAGCAGATTCTAACCCAGTACACCACTTTCGTCAAGCCCGCCTTTGAGGAGTTCTGCCTGCCGGTACACCCCCTGCCCCTTTTCTAAAAGATACATGTTGCCTAGTTGTGTGACTGAAAAGTGGAGAAGAATTTAGCTTATATGACACCCAAGTACTCGGAGACTAGTTCTTAGCTAAACAACTCTTCCTTGTCCCAAATCTATACTGTCTACTTTGAGTCAGCCCAAATGTCCCCGTTTTTATTTTGGTTTAACCCTGAAAGTCCCCTGTCCTCCCTCTTCTCCTTGCTTCTCTTTTCTCTCCAGAGTATTTCTCATCATCTGACATAGACTGTCATTATCCCTAGCAGGCCCTTCCCTGCCAGTGATAGTAAATTCTACAAAATTCTACTTTAGTCTGTTCATTTCCAAAAACTACATCTGGAAGATGTTTTGAGCTGTTGAATCAGTTCTGACTCGGCAACTCTTTAGGACAGACCTATCCCACAGTTTCTGAGGTTATAATTTTTGTTTTTAAAGGGCATTTGTGCAATATGTCCGAAAGGAAGGCATATACAAAGAATTAATACAGGAAAAAACACTGTTTCAACACTAACGAATCTACAATTAGCAACTTGGGAAAGGGAAAATGAACCAAAAAATCAGAAACTGCCATCAAATGAGGCTGAGAAATCTCTGTTATCATTTAGGAAAAGTCTTCAAAAGACTTTTGTGATTTTTATTCAACTAGAGCATCTACTTGGTTGCCCCAGGGTTTGTGGTGTAACCTCTGCTGAAGTAAATGGCATGTCTTTCTGCTGTGGAGGTGCTGGGGTTTTGAACCACTGATCATTTACCACAGTGGCACCTGGGCCGCCTGCTTGGCACAAAATTCACTGATTGCTGTTGAGTGGATAACAGGCATTTAACAATTGTTTTTCTGTGGACTGTGGTTCTAACTTGATGGGACCTGTGGCTTCATTCAAATTGGGGTGTTTTAATAGGGACAATTTTTGCTTTTTAATGATGAAACTATTTAACACAAAGGAGGCAGAACGAGGGAAAAAAGGAATTCTCAAAATCAGTTATTTAAAAATAGTTTTACTCAAGAATCCATATGTTATTAAAGCATTCATAGTCTCTAACATTTCTGAAAAAGGAAACTTGACAAATAAATTAACTGTTAGGATCTTGTTCAAAAAGCCACGTGGCAAATAGATGACTTAAGGGGACTTAAGTCACTGCTGCCTTTGATGGATGTCGCCCTCAGGGGGACTCTCCCTCCACCATGTCCATATGGGTCACCTTCTGAACCGAGTGGGTGTGACAATGAGCGACCCTGACGCTCCAATCTGATCGGATTCACTACCTGGTGCATGTCGCATGATGAACTTCATCTCAAGAAGCAATTTCCCTGATGATTGAAGAGGATAAAATAAATAAAACTACAAACGGACCATCAACAGCCTCTCATGAATTATTCCCTGGAAAGGGCACCTCAGCTTCCAACCTGTCCGTATACATCACCCCCTCAGTTGAGTGGGCATTTTGGACAGCAATGACTCAGTCCAGTTTGGACTGAACCCTGGTGCTGGTCCTATGGAAGAGAGCAGCACAATCAGCTCTTCCCTGACAGTGACAGATCAGGTTGAAATGGAAGAGATTGATCTTAATACAACTGAAAATGGGCCCCACCTTTTGCAGCAGTGCCCCTTTTGAGTTCTACAATGGGAGGCCCTGAACCTCTCCAAGCTTTTCACATGTGCTACCTGGTCAGCTGTGTGAGCCTATGGGACATGAACCTCATCTTTCTTTGCCTCCGCCTGGGAAAAAGGACCTGCCTCATTCAGTGTGGAACTTTGTTAAGAACATGTACACTGTGTGTCATTGAATATTTAGTCTATTGTGCCATTAAATTTCTCTGGCAAATACTTAAAAAAAAAGCCCACATCCTTCACCCCTGTCGGTCCAACTAACCTAGTCTTAAGTTATTTCTTGACTTTGACCATTCTTCCCTCCTTGCCAGTAATTAAGACCCTAATCAGCTCCTTCCTGGGGTGCTGCCTATCCTGTCTGCTGCTAAACAAAGCGGCATAAGCTTCTACTTCATGGTCACAACTGTCCTCAGACTTGGCACCTATCTCTGCAACTCATCTCTAGTGACATGTCTCACACCCACATGCCAACAACAGGGAATGCTTACAGGTGTGCCCTGCAGCCCAGGCTGTGGCCCCAGCTGTGACATCCTCTGCTTCCCCACTTCTCCTGGGATCCACCTCCCATGTGTGGCTGGGTTCCTCCTCAATGACCTGCATTTCCTGCTCTTAGCTCACAGGGTAGCCGACCAGGACTAGGTCCATGTCAACATTAGACACATAAACTAGGAATGGTGAGAGCAGGGGCTCAGGCTGTTCTTAACTCGAAATGGAGCATGCCTCCCTCCCTTAACTTCCTCCAGGGAAGGTTCTGAATCTCAGGGGGACAACATAATTGTGGGAAAAGGCCCCATGACATTTGGCCCAGCAGACCAAGCTGTTAGCCCAGAGACCTGCCCTTTAACCTGGTGTTGGTGGAAAAGAACAAGAGCAGAGGGCGTGCAGACAGACTCAAGGGTAAAAGCCATAGAAATGTAGTTTCTTTTGGCCTCAGCTCTGCTCACTATCTTAATACCTGGTGGTGATTAACCCTTAACCCCTACCCCCATCTCTCTGCTCCACAGGATCACTAGCTACTTGGGGCTTACTCCTACTAGAGGAACTGAAATTACCTTGGAGTAAATAGAATGACCAGAATTTCCTCTTTGCCTTGTAGACAAAGAAGTATGCGGACGTGATCATCCCCCGAGGGGTTGACAATATGGGTAAGGAGCAGACCTGAAGGACTGGCTGAGCGGGAGTGGCTCCCAAATGCATGAGGCCTGTTGTTGGGTATTTGTGGTGCAGATGTAGGTTCAAAAGATTTACTGTAAAAAACATATCCAGAATGCTAGGACCAGGGTTTGCTAGCAGACAGTACTTGAACCTGGGCCCTGTTAATTTAACATAAAACCTCAGCAGGAGATGCACCAGTAGCTTTTGCATGTGTGTTTCGGAGTGCTGAGGTGGACACCAGGAGCAGGCCCTGGGAACAGAGCTGCCTCGGGAAGGAGCTGTTGGGTGTGTAATGGCCCGGGCAGCCCCAGCGGCTTTGGCTGACCCTCCTGCTGTCCTTGCCACAGTTGCCATCAACCTGATTGTGCAGCACATCCAGGACATTCTCAACGGTGACATCTGCAAGTGGCACCGAGGGGGGGCCAATGGGCGGAGCTACAAGAGGACATTTTCTGAGCCTGGAGACCATCCTGGTGTGCTGACTTCCAGCAAACGGTCTCACCTGGAGTCCAGCAGCAGACCCCACTAAGCAGCCAGCACCCCGCTCCCTCAGCCTCCTGGGCAGGCCTGAGCAGCTGGGCCTGGTGATGCCTGCCCCGAGACATGGCCTTCACCACACCCAGCTGTGTTACAAGGTGACAGTATCATTCAGAGGACATTTATCAGGAAAGGGGCAAGACATTCCAGATTTTTCTCCTGTTCTTCATGTTTAAGAGTTCTAGAAAAGTCTAGGTTACTGAGAAATGCCATAAAATGCACAGTAAGCCTGTTACGCTTACTCCCAAAGGAGTTCAGGTCACAAAATTTTAAAAACGTGAGGAGATAGCAGGACGCCAGGTGGCCCATTGATGGGCCCTGGGACTTTGTCACTGTGAACCTGTGGTGAGGAATAGACGCTAAAATCCTATTTGCACAACACAAATCCCTGAAACCAGAGTTTCAGGAGAATACTTTTCCCTCAGTACATGTTACTTTTCTCATGTTGTCTATTCTATTTGTTATCCATAACAAAATTCTGGTGTACTTATCACCTTTAATTTCACAACCCACTGATGGCTTGTGATCCAATGATCGGAAGAGCCCTGAGCTCTCTTGTGCTTCAAAGGCAGGTGAGGAAGGAGGAAGCCTGGTCTGCTCACCTGGGCCCTGTAGACTTGCCTGGTCCTTGGCCCCTGCTGGTGCAGAGAAGCAGCTCTCCCCAGGCCTGACCGCAGCACACAGCACCTGGCAGACAGCCCTGCACAGGTGGGGACTGACGCCTGGCCCCTGCAGACACTGCTACCGGAGTTGCATGTGCTGCATGAGCACACGTGTCCAGAGCCATCCAGCCAAGGGGACCTGCCAGACGTAGAAGCTTGAATGCTGCTCCACACCGGTCAGCTCCCCTTTCTCCCCTGGGGTTCATGGCCACTGTCTTGCACAAGTGGTAACCTTCACTCTGATGTCCATCATTCCACCCACATAACAGTTTCTGTAAAAAAATGATCCTTGTCCTGTGCTAATTGCATGGGCATGCTGGATCCTTTTTGTCGTGCATAACTCACTGTAGTTACATGAGATGTGACATGAGCTCAAATCTGCTGACATACGATAGCAGTTTTGTCAAACTTGTGCTGTTCTGGAGCAAAAATCAATAAATACCACACTAATGCAAAATCTGTCCCTTTTTTAATAACATGGGGGGGGGGAAGGCAGGTTCAGGACAAGGATATGTGCAGATGACACCAACCCCAGCAGTGGTGGTGAGGCAGGAGATGCCACTCACACGTGCTATGTTTCAGCAAAATCTCAAGGGACTTTTTTAAAAAATACAGTGATCATAGAATTCCACTTCACACTCCTTCAAGGCTTACTTGATAGCGACTTGTAGACAAGACACTGCTCTCTGCAGGCGGCTCAACAGTTATTGAAAAGCCAAAGCAGTTACTGGTAATGACCTGATTAGGCTAATTCACCACATCACTGGCCTACTTTTCATCAGTTCCTGTGTGAGCCATGTAAGTGCTCAGGTGTGTTAAGACTGAAATAGTGGACTTGCAGGGCCCTTTCTTTACTAACCAATAAGGTGCTTACCAGACGGTTTCCAGAATGAAACCATGATAAACTCCAGAACTGTTACCGAGCCCTCGCCAGTCTCCACGCTTCATGCCATGTGCTGATAGTGAAGTCTTTATAAAAGACTGCTGCTACCTTGTCCCATCCCCAGCACGACGTCCTCTTTGTTCTTGTTCTAGTGCTTTCGGATCAAGATGTTCCAGCTGTCCTTCCAGCGAAGGGCCTTAAGTTCACTTGTGGAGAGAGAGGTGTCCCCGTATGTTAGTGGGCGCAGGGTGTTGAACACGTGACATGCAGAGGAATACCATGCCACCACCAGGGCACTGAAGACGCGACTCTGTAGCTTGGACCTGTGGGCATCAGGGCCGGGCACCTGGGTGAGGAAGGCCAGTTCCTCCTCCTGCCTGTGGACGCCCCCATCCTGCTGTCCTTATTCCCACAGTCACTGGCCAAGTTCTGCTCTCACACCTGTCCCACCCCTTCTAGTCCTCCTGCCCTCTCAACTTCCCACCGAGTCCTCGCCTGCCTGGCTGCACTGAGCAAGATCCTCAGGTGCTCCACCACGCAGTCAAAATGTGGTCTCCCTTCTAGAAAATGTCACAGTATCATCCCAGACCCACATCATGTCTCTCCTGAAACACTGAATTCAGGTCACCAAGAGAATGAGTCATGCTGTATTCACTGGTCTCCAGGTTGTCACTCCAGCTTAAAGCACGAGACGCGCCTCAGCCTTGGAACACAGTCTGCTGCTTGCCTGACTAATGTTCTCGAAGCCGTCAATGTCTGTCCTCATTTCCCACCCACATGGAACTGCTTTCCTCTCGGTCAGCTGTAATGTCTTCCTGAGTTCCCACACGAGAGAGAGAGTGTGTGTGTGTGTGTGTTGTGTATGTGTCCCTTTCCTGAACGTGTGTGCTTGTGTCCCCGTCTGATCCTACCCACCATTCTGCACAGGGATTTCAGTAAAGGGCACTTATTGTGAAGAGCCTCTTACCACCTGTCCTTGTGTGTGTGTGTGAGAGTGTGTGTATCCCTTCCCTGCATTTACCTGATCCTACCCACCACCCTGCACAGAGGCTTAAGTAAAGGGCACTGACTGACAGTGAGTGAAGAGCCTCTTACCACCTGCCTTCTGCTCCGAGCAGGAGACTCGTTACATGAACACATTGAACTGTCAACACGACCTCCTAAGAAAGTTAGTGGTGCAGCTGCAGAGAGCCCGTTACCTGCACAGGTGGTCGTTGACATGCTGCAGAACCACGGGGAGCAGGATGATCTGGAAGGTGAGTGCCGGCAGGTAGTGGTAGAGGAAGAGTGTCTTCTCCATCAGGAAGAAGGGCAGGTAGTTCAGCGCCCAGCCCCCACAGCACAGCATCCCGGTGAGCACCCAGCGTAGCCAGCAACCTGGGAAGACAGGTGATCCTCAGCCAGGGCCTGGGTTAGCGCGGTCAATGCTCACCACTGGCCTAAGACTGCTGTCTTTTAAGTCACACACATGCATTCTTAGTTTTGGTCCTGGCCCTTTCCCATCTCTGGAGGAGGAGTCAGTCGACAGTGGTGTGAAAACCCGTGGCAGTTCCCTCCCTGGTCCTAACAACCTCTGTCCTGAGAAGAGGCCAGGCCCCAGCCTTGGCCTATCATGCAGGATACCTCCTGGCCTTGGTCCACTGCACTGTGCCGGCTGAGGCCAGCTGGGCCCATCTAGACTGGTGAGGAATGCCGAGTTGGGCTAGGACCGCTGTGGGAGTGATGGCAGTGTTTGTGAAGAAGGAAGTCAGCTGAGGGGAGCGAGCCCAAATGAACAGCTGAGAGCAAAGAGCAGCACTGCTTTAGTGGCTGCTGAGTCGGGCCGGGCGCTGGGAACCTTTCCTCCACGGGGTGTGTGGGTGTATGTATGTGTGTCTTTTTTTCTGCTTTAAGTGGGTTTCTGTTACTTGTAAACACACACGGCAGATGCTAAGAGTGACGGCTGGCTGGCTTCTCACCAGCTCCACTTCAAGTGTGAGGAGAGACGCTGTCCTAGGGCAGGGCTCCCGCACTGGAGGCCAGGGGGCTCCTCCTGCCTGCCTGTCCTCATTACCTGGTGGGATGCCACTAACACAGTGTGGGAACTAACTTCAGCATGGCCCTCTGGTGACTGAAGTAATTTCAGTTTCCTCACTGCAGAAGCTGAATACTGTACAGTGGGGCTACTCATGTGACCCTGGCTATCAGAGTTCCCAGCTGCCACCCCCAAACCATGAACCAAATGGTGAGGACAGAGCATATACATAAGACGAGAGCTGACCCTCAGGGAGGTCACAGATGTTTCTCTGCCGTCTGAGCAGATACCAGAAGAAGAGCAGGACATAGGTGACCATGGCGAGGCTGGCTGATGTCCAGATCAGGACGTTCCCCAGCAGGTGGATCTGCGCCTGCAACACACAGGGAAAGCCTGTCAATGCTGCCTTGTGCTCAGAAGTAGGGGGGAAACCCAGACAAATTCAGATACAGATAGTACTTCAGGATGAAGCTAAGAACACGGGGAGAGCCTGTCAACACCGCCTTGTGCTGGGGGAGTGGGTGGGGTAGAGAACCCAGACAAATCCAGAAGCACACAATACTTCTGGACAAAGCTAAGAACATCATGCAGGCCCAACCCAGCATTTGTTAGCCCTTCCCACTAACGAGGTCATACCCAGGGGACCCTATTTTAAAAAAAGACTAAAGTTCTCAATTTTGTACAGATGAGAAAACAAGGATGAGGTGGGGTCATCATAACGATCCAGCCATGCACAGAATGACATCGACCTCCTGAGCTCCCCACCCCAGAGGCTGAGCCCCTGGCACTGGCTCTGCCATCATTTCAGATCCTGCCTCACAGTCCTTGGCCTCTCCAAGCGAGGACATTACTGAACACCTACTGTGTGCAGGCCTGAGGTTTTATTCCAGATGAAGAGAGACAATAAATATAGAAACAAAGCTCAAATTTCCTCAACACTAAGTGCTGGGCAGGAAACAAAAGGACAATTTTAACAGCCTCTGTCAAAACACCTTAGCCCCACAGAGCAGGGCAGCCTGCGGTTCCTTCCGCGTGCCCACATGCCAGCCTATCCCAGCTTCTGGAGGGCGTACTGACCCTGCACTACCAAACATTAGAGGAAAGCAAGTTAGCAAGGCACAGGTTTTGTGAGGAGAGGTTCTGGAGGACTCTGGGGCTCTGAAGGACACAATGGTGGATCTTAACATGAGAAGGACTTCTCAGTACACAAGACACTGCTGGTGGCGAGAACCCCCCACTCACTCACACTGGTCGTGGGGTGCAGCCAGTAGGCGATGTTGGTATCTAGGGTGACCCACTCGAGCGGTGTAGAGCTGTACTTGTGCTCCGAGTCATCCGTCCTCAGCATCAGCATGCGCCACTGGAAGAAAGCCAGAGCCTCTTACATGCTCCACACGACAGGCAGACGTCTCCAGTCGTGGAGGGCTGTCAGAGGTGGGAGGACAAGGACTGCCCCTGGGTGGTGAAACTGCTCCTCGGAGACGTGGCCGTGGCCCCCTCACCTCCTCGGAACAATAAGTGACTGGACTCTCTTCTCTGAGGCCACCTTCAGATCCAGGACTCTGATTTTACAACTCTTTAACTTCCCTAATGCACTCCTGTGTTGACCATGGCCCATTTTGACTGGACCAGAGGGGAACTTAAAACACTGTTACATTACATGGGTGCAGAATTAGATCTGACCATCCCCGATAGTAAGTGCACAAAGACAACACCTCACTTAAAAGAAGAGGAAACACACTGCAGTGGTGAGCCTGAAATGCTCTATGCTGGTAGAGAAGCCTGCACTGCACAGTCAGGGATGCTGCACCCATGCTGCTCTGCTAAGCAGCCGCTTTCCAGGGAGCAAGGTCAGGCCTCCCTCCACCTGTGTGTCACCTGCAGTTCCGTGAAGCGTGCCAAGAAGCTGAGGTTTCTGCTGACGTCAACCTGAGTAGGTGAGTGCAGCTCCAGTTCCCTCTCCTCCTGTTCCTGGCCTGAGAGAATGTTCCAGAACATAAGAACATGAGGACAGTAAGACTGGGGAGCTCAGAGGAGGTCTTGCTTTCAAACTATCCAAAACTACTTTCCATCAAGCCAGACCCTGCCTTTTCATCTTCCCTGCTTCATGTGATGATGATGATGTTGTTGTTGTTGTGTATCACCGAGTCAGAACCGACTTATAGCTGACTCTCGAGCGGACTTTCAGAGGCAGTAATAGCATGGGAGGAGATTGTCCATCTTTGTCTTGTGGAACAGCTGGTAGATTTGAACCGTGTGCCTTTGGGATTGCAGCACAGCTTCTTACCACTAGGTCACCAGAGCTCCCTATGCAACAGACCCCATTAAAAAAAAGCAAGCTCTTTGGGCCCGTAGAAAGCTCAGCATGCAGTGGGATAAATGAGCTGCCTTGCAAGGGCACCTCTGAGTATAAAAGATCCTCAGCTGTTTGCTGCTTTGGTGCAGGAAAGAGCCTGGAAATGTGTCCAGCTCCCACCAGGAGTGAGGGTCTCTCAGTCTTGGGGGGTCGGTCATCTTAGAGTACCACGTGCTGGGACTCGCCTTCCACAACCTGACTGACATCAGCACTTGTCCACCATTGCGAGGTCCCACTTACTTTTCCCGAAGCGGTGTTCCTCCACGTTCCACACCATGCTCTCGTGGAAGCCCCTGGACAGTTTCTCCCCAACCACCTCCAACTGCCGGAAGCCCCAGTCGGGGAGGTGGGCCCCACTCAGCTGGCAAAGGGCAGAAGGCAAGAACAAGCGTTAGGGGACAGGACAGCTACTCCAGACTCCAGTACAGACCAGCTGGCAACTGAGTGTCCCCACAGCCCCATCCACTTCGTCTCTCTCTGTCAGCAGCCAGAGAGGGCTGAACTTTGCCTGACGGGACTTTAAGTTAAGGATCTGCTTTGATAAATTAGGAAAGCATCCATTCTTTAGTGTAAAATAAACTTGGCAATGACTAACCAAACGTTCCACCTGGTAAAAAAGCCAGTGTAGCCTGGAGGGACGAGGAAATAGATTTTGTGAGCCCACAACCTGAGCCAGGCCAAGCCAGAAAGTCACACAGTACCTTTAAGATGGCTGAAGTGTTCACGTGCACAAAGCGGACCTCAGACACTATGGTCTTCCAGACATCCGTGTCAGATTCTCTGTTGACAATCTCCTGCAAAAACAAGACTGTCGATCACATCATTTGTTCCTAGTTTCTTAAATGTAAATATTAAGACCAATTGTAGGCGAGCTCTGGTGGCCTAGTTGACAATCTCCTGCAAAAACAAGACTGTCGATCACATCATTTGTTCCTAGTTTCTTAAATGTAAATATTAAGACCAGTTGTAGGCGAGCTCTGGTGGCCTAGTGGCAAGAAACTGCACTGCAATCCCAGAGGTGTACGGTTCAAATCCACCAGATGCTCTGCTGAAGAAGGAGGAACAATTGCCTCCTGTACCAGTCAGATCCAATTTGATGGTACACACATAAAAAGAATAAATAA